TGGCGGCATTGGCTTACTATATTTTCCTTTAGTTCAGGTCTGGGTGAAAGGAAACCATCCCGCTTCTCTGTGAAGGGACTGGGACAGCATTTTGCGTTCATGGTGTTTGGCTTATGGGAATAAATCTATTTTGCTCAATAAGAATTAAAAAGCTCACTGAACTCTTTCATTCAATGAAATCATTTCGACTTTTTCTTGTGGGATTTACACTAAATTTAAGACGAGAGCCTTCAGGTCTTTTCATCAAACCCAGAATGGAAAGCTTAATTAAATTATACTTGTCATAGCATCTGCGTGTGTCCCTGAGTGTTTAGCAACTTGATAATGAAGACAAGTTCTAATGACCCATATACGTTCTGTGTACCTCACTAGTGTTCCGGACATAGCTCTTCTCTCTCTTGTTAATAGTGTGCTGCAGGGGCGCCTGGGTGGCTCAGTGGGTTAAAGCCTCTGCCTTCAGCTCAGGTCATGATCTCAGGGTCATTGGATCGAGCCCCACATCGGGCTCTCTGCTCAGCAGGGAGCCTGCTTCTTCCTCTCTCTCTGCCTGCCTCTCTGCCTACTTGTGATCTGTCTGTCAAATGAATAAATAAAATCTTTTAAAAAAATAAAAATAAAACTGTACTGCAATATCCATAGAGTGTGTGCTGCATTTAAAAATGGCGGGGGGGGGGAGGGGTTGTGCCTGGGTGGCTCAGTGGGTTCAGCATCTACTTTCAGTTCAGGTCATGATCCCAGGGTCCTGGGACCGAGTCCGGCATTGGGCTCCCAGCTACTCCCTCTCCCTCTGCCGCTCTCCCTGCTCAAGCTCTCTCTCTCTCTCTCTCTCTCTATTTCTCAGATAAATAAAACTGTGTGTGTGTGTGTGTGTTTGCTTTAAATTGAGCCCTTTTCTTTTCTCACTTTCTCTTTAGAAGAGATAGATCATAAGAACAGAACTGATATTAGGAATTTGGCCCAAGAAAAGAAGTTTCCAGGGACAGTCATGCTGTCCATGTAGGTACAACTTGACTGAATGTTCTTTCTATTTCATTGTGGATGGTTATTCAGTACAGAATGAGGGCACCAAAAAATTGTGAATTATCCAAGAAAAATATTTTTTTCTACTTGTGGTTTAGTTTATTGACACCCAAACCTGCTTTATAAGAGATGACATATTTACCTCATTACACATTTAAAAGATTAAACAGTATTTCTGGGGCGCCTGACTGGCTCAGTCAGTGGAGTGTTATTCTTGATCTCGGGGTTGTGGGTTCGATGCCCATGTTGGGTGGAGAGATTTCCTAAAAATAAAATCTTAAAAATAAATCAATACATCAATAGTATTTCTTGTATATATTTAAAAAATGTGCAAGAAAGATTCATGTAGACATATACATATTTAAAAAAATTTTTTTGACATATACATATGTTTTTAAAAGATATAATTATAATACATAAAAGATGAAACAGAACTTTCATTTGTGGACATCCGAGTAACTGGAAAATATAATTAAGCAAAATACATATTCTCTTAAGCATTTCAGCTAGATCTAATTTGTTGTTTGTTTGCCTTGGTTGTACAGCTGTCCCCCTCCTCCGTTTTTTTGCTGTTTGTTTCTGGTTTGCTTACTGATTGCTCTTTTTAAAGATAGTAACTATGAGTCCTTCAGCTAGAGGATAAAACCCGCCAAGTTTTCACATTTGATTATTTTGGTTTTACAAGTATTTAAAATGGATTAAAATTAATTTATCTGTCCAGAGCTAAACCATCAAGGACTTACTCTTAGACAGAAGCTATGTTTACCTAACTGGGGAAGAACTGGGTGTTTGTGTTGCAACAACTGACTTGGCTCGTAGATTTAAAGAAAATATTAGTCGGTAGACATAAAGCATTGTCCTAGATCAAGGTCACAGGCCTCCTCGTCCGTAGTGGGTTCCAGCTCACCGTTCAGTACAAGTATCTGCGTTGAAACACCTCGATTTTCACCCACATTCTGGGGCTAGTAGAAAAAATTCAGCCTCCGGGACAGAGGTCAGTTTGCAGGCTTCATTAATGCCTGGAGGCAGCAAAGGATAATGGATTAGAGTGTGGCGCTTAGCTGTGTGCTCTTGGGTAGCTGGTCAACATTTCTGTGCCTCTTCTACAGAAGAGCATCTCCCCCATACAGCTGTAGGAAGGATTCACTGAGCTAATCCATAGAAAAAGCACACAACAGCGCCCGAGACTTGGTGAACAGCATGTAAAAAAGGCTTGCCACCATCGCAAGGTGAGTTGGGGACAACTCCTTACCCGATGGCTACTGCTCCATAAATAAGAGGGAGGTGGTCTGTGCCCACTGAGTGGGGAAGCATTTATTGAAAGAACAGAGTTTTCTTTTACATGTTTTGAAAATGGAATCATTCTCAGGAAGGGAGAGAAAATGCTGACTTCTCCCAGCCTCCCAGCCGGCAGCGCCCAGGAGGAGGGGCTTTGAGAACCAAAGGGACTTTTGGCTGAGTAATAAAGCAATATTCCTGGTGAACACCACCTTCCGTCCTTCTCTCCGTGATTGTAAAACTGTAACAGAATGTTCAAGGTCTCCAAGGTATTTTACAAAAATCACTTGAGAAAGACTGCCCTGGAATCATCAATTTTTAACCAGTGCTTACCAGACATTATTTGAAGTTAAGTGAGCCTATGGAAGTATCTAATGGTTTGTCATGAAAAGCTCTGCAATGTTTTTTCTCCTGGTGTTAGTAAGAACCACCCATGGTGTGAATTGCACCATGTGAGTTACTCAAAAAGCCAGGATAGTTTTTTAAAAATATTTTTTCCTCCTAAATGTCCTGAAAAAGAAAATCACTGTGGAAAAAAAAAGTGAAAAAGAAACACACACACAGGAAATTTTAAAATCACTGGTGACTATCACTAACATCTTAGTAGACGAGAGAGTTTTTAAAAAGTCCCTCATGTGTGCTGCAGAATCTGGGATTTTTTTTTTTTTTTTTTTTTTTTTAGGTGTCAGGATAAAATTGATACTGCAATAAACACAAGGAGAAAAAGAGGAAGTCATTCGACACCAATACCAGAATCTACACCACTTCCTTTTCAAATAGGTGCATCGCCCGTTGTGAAAAAGGACCAGAATCTTCCAGGTAGGGTGTAGAAACAATTCAATATCCCTTGGGAATCCGAAGAATTGGAAATTATAGGATGAATGTAAAAGCAAGAAGCATAGGAACGTATAGAGTCTGGACACAGAAGAGAAGAGTCAGACCCTGGTTGTAAGGGACAGGCCATGTAGGGGGAGGACTAGTACTCCCCCAGGAGGCCTGGATGGAAGTTTGGGCTCTGCCATTAAGTTTGTGACCTTGGAAAGGTCACAGTCTCTCTGAGCCATGGTTTCCTAATCTGTAAAATGGGCAAGCATGCTTCTCCTCTCCTCCTTGCAGACCCCTCTGAGATAAAGGATCTGTAAAATCCTTTTAATAGTACCAGGCAAACATACAGTGTGGTGTTGAGGAGGCACAATTCCAAGCTTTTCCTGTATTGTTTGGACCCAAACATCATTTCCGTGTCTACATTATTTATCTACAAGGCCTTAGAGTTGTTCGTAGAGATGAAAGAGGAGGTTTCCACCGTGCCTGTTCAGAAAGTTTGGTGGCTTAACTCTTAATTAAAGGACTCTTGGCTAAAAGTCCTGTTTTTCTAAAAATGAGGACCCGGAAACCCTCTTCCACAGCCAGAAAGAGAGGGGATGATGCCCCCACCTCACTCACAGCTTATATCCCGCCCCACGCGTGTTTGCTGTCTCTGGACACACGTTAATGGCCTCAACATAAACACGCTTGATAAACGGATCAAGAAGCGGCCGTTTCCTCGCCCAACGCATTCTCCTCCGGATCCCGGGTCCGGCCCCATTCTGTAGGTCTCTGGCCATAAATATGTAATGCCTCCCTGGATCACGGGCCGGCCTATCTGTGGGCCCACGCCCACTTGTTGTTGCGCATGAAACTTGGAGGCAGGCCAGGGGTATGGGCAAAGAGCTGCTGTGCTAGAACTGGTTAATCACAGCCTCCCCCCAGCCCTCCCCCCAGCCGGGGCGGGGGACAGAGGCCCCTCGGGCGCTCTGGCCTCGGGCTGCACGCCGCCACTTTCTCGCCTGCCTTTCTGGTGAGACAGTCACCCTCTGGGGCATCGGAGTCTTTGTTAAATTAGTCCCTTCTTCAGCTCCTTTGGCCGGCTCCCTGGAGTTAGGCCACGGTTACTGGTTGGCTTTTCTGAGCCTGCTTTTGGCACAGGTAGGAAAGGAGGAGAGAGAGAGAAAAAAAATGGTGTAAGCAAGTTTCGAAATCTTAGATCATTTCATGAATGACTCAGTGTTTCCTTTTGGAAAAGCGCAATAATTGGCTTTCATTAGTAACTTCGCTTTAAAAAAAAGGTTCTAAATATTGAGAAGCCTTTTGTGCTACCTGAATACAGCCACCTTCCAATTTTCATTTTTATAGCTTCCAGAGGGATTTCATTCACTTGATAATGCAGGCTCCTTGAAAAATAAACTGTCACATACTTCCTCCTTCTGGCTTCCTGTTCTTTCTGAGAAAAGCATTGGGGTTGTCTCTGTCTCTCTCTCTCTCTCTCTGTCTTTCCTTTTTTTTTTTTTTTCCCCCATTTGAGAAGTATTTCAAAATATAATGTATCAAATCAACAGGTTGTACACCTTCAACTGACACAATGTTGTGTGTCAATTATGTCTGGAGTGGGGATATTTACAGTATAAAGTTATTCCTCTGCTTAGAGTAGTTACACCGGCCTCAAAAAGAGAAGTCTTCTATTCCCCTCTTTCCAGAACGACATTTTCATTCGCACAGAATAGTTCTGAATATAGGAAGTATGTAACTGAATGTATTTCTAATATTATCTTTAATTCACTCGAGCACATTTCCATCTTTGAATTAGGCAAAGGAAGAAGGAAAAAAAAAAAACCCAAAAGCCAAATGAAACCTCTCTTCCTCTCGGTCTCCCTCTGCCCGTAAACAATCCTGAGGTTTTCATACAGAAGATACCCATTCTTCCCGCGTCGTCCATGCTGTTGAATACAGCTTCCGAGCTATAGACCCAGAAGATGTCCCAAATGACTCATTACTGGAATAAATGTTTCTAATGTTAAAGGTATGCAAATAGAGCATAATGGGGGAAGGAAGGCTCTGTGATATGATAAATAAAGCTGAGACTAGGACTGTGGTCACTGTGGACTCTATTTGCATACAGGCTTATCTTGTTTTTAAGGCAGGAGGGGGAAAAAAAAAAGAGGAGGAAGAGAAAAATCCCGACTTTCACCACAAGGCTCTCAAATACAACTTCATAATAAGGCACAACACGCCAAGCCATGTTAATGAGCAAAAAAGTGCTTAGTGCGGAAGAATCCCAAACCCATTAAAAACATTTTCTAGAATGTAAAGCAAACACGGGACCAGCCTCAGGTCATCTTACTGAGAAAATTGCACAATCAAACTTTTTGTCGCTGGAGTTGGCGGTGTTAGGTCAGGACTGATTCTGTTACAACTCGGGTTTCAGGAGTGGGCCCTGCTCGGGTTGTTGGGCTCATCCCTACCTGGGTCCCTGCCTGGTTCTCCAAGCCAGACAGGCCCTCCGATTAAAGGAGAGAAAGACAAAAAAGAGAGACGCCCCACAGTGGATTCTCTTGCTACATATCAAATTACAAATCTTGCAACATTTATACAAGCCAGAAGCACCTGTCATCATTTTGGAAGGGAAGCTCAAACTGTACTTTTTCCTTTTTTTTCCTGTTTCACTTTTCAGAGATATTCTGTACGATCCTGCCTGACCAGGAGGAGTTGGGGATGGGGGGAGTGAATGGGTGACCAGGATGGGCGTACAGCATTCATATTTTGTAGATTTTAAAAGAGAAAGAAAACAAGACGTGATTTAAGAATCTGACATTATTTTAACACCTGAGAGGAATCATCACTGTGAATGATCAAATGAAGAAAAGCTGGGCCATTTTTATAAAAAACTGCACGGAAACACACCAACATAGGAACCATGGCTGTTATGTGTTATGTGAGTGTTGTGTGTTAACTTTAGGCACGTTTTCTGCAGTTTTTAAAATTTTCTACAAAGAACAGGGGTGGCTCAGTTGGTTGGGCTTCTAACTCTTGATTTTGACTCAAGTCACAATCTTAGGGTCATGAGATCAAGCCCCGAGTCAGGGTCAACGCTCAGCACAGAAATGCTTAAGATTCTCTTTCTCTCTCTTTCACAAAACAAAACAAAACAAAACAAAACAAAACAAAACACCAAACACCAAAAAACAAAACCAAAAAAACTACAATGAACAATAAGGTTTCTAATCATAAAAATAAAGAAGCATTTTTAAAGAATTGTCCACAGCATACTAAGAGTGTACCCTGTAATCTTTCCTAGGAGATATTGTGAAGTTTGAGTATGCTTATATTGTAAAATAAGGCACGTAACTAGACCTAGTGATACTCTTTTAATTAATCGTGGAGTTATCCTGAATGATTCTAATTCATCTACTGTGGCTACTACTGTGTTCTATTTACACGTGTTCAACACACATTTATATGTAGTTTAATCATGGAGCTCACTGTCATATCTAACCTCACAGTTTGGAAGATGGTATTTTCTTTTTTTTAAAGATTTTATTTATTATTTGACAGGGAGAGACACAATGAGAGAGGGAACACAAGCAGGGGGAGTGTGAGAGGGAGAAGCAGGCTTCCCCCTGAACAGAAAGCCCAGTGTGGGGCTCAATCCCAGGACTCTGGGATCAGGACCTGAGCCGAAGGCAGATGCTTAACGATTGAGCTACCCCGGCGCCCCATGGAAGATGGTATTTTTAACACTATGCAGGACATTCTGTATCAGGTCAAAAAATATAAATTTGAATATTGAGGAGCTGATCAGTTTTTCTTAAAGGGCTGGTCCTGACCCCTCCAATAAGCCTGAGCATAGATGATAGACATTCTACCTAATATTCTACAAAGACCCCTGGCAGTAGGTTCCTGGATTCATTTATACTTTTGATGTTATTTTGCAGTTGTATGCCTCTGTGTGCTTAAAGTAAAAAGGACAAAAATAAGTCTGAGGGGGAAAAAAAACCATTTTAATTGCTTTCAAATGTTCCAATAAACTCAAACCCATATATTCTTGCTCAAGAATTTCCTTGCCAGATTATTACACACTTGTTTGCCAACTCTCTATCTTTCTCTTATTTTCCTAATCTTTGTAACTATAGAAGATATTAAGTGTTATAAGCTGGTGGGAAAATATAAATATTTTCAAAAGACTTAAACATTCAAATGTCATAGGAAAGATTTTTTTTTTAAATCAGATCTCTGCTCTTAGAAGGAACTAAAAGTCTAAGAATCAGAAAATAACAGAAACGATCTTAAGCCCCCAAGAAGAAAGAGGTGTTGTTTTGTTTTTCACATTCATGTTTAAATAACCATTCTGTTATCTTCAACTGTAGTTCCTACTGAGAACGTCCCAACAAACAGCCAGTCTCTATGACTAAGGAAATACTCCAGCTAATGATCTCCTGATAGGCCAAGAAATATCAACAAGGCCAGGAGGCCTTGAAGGTCACTATCTAACAGACGGTGGCACCAGCAGTGGGCCCAGTGAGATGATGAGGTAGCAGTGACTGTACCCAAACCATCACACAGTTTGCTAAGATTATTTTGGTCCAACCAATTCCAGGTGGTACATTGCCCTGGCTTCCCTGTAAACAGAATATGGTGGGATATCTTGTACGTGGTGGTTGTGCCTGCATTCAAAATAGAAGCTTGGAATTGTTACCAGTTAAAATTCCAGTGTTTCTCTGATATATTTACAGTGTTTTGCTGCATACTTGGAAACATACTAAATATACTAAAAAAGGCATAAAATCTTTAATAACCTGGAAAAGTAAAGAGGAGGGTGGAAATGGTTTTCTAATGTACAGAAATGGGAGGAGACAGAATGTTTTAGAGTGAGTGCAGATATCTTTTTTTCACAAGCAAAATTCTTATTTTGATATGAATATTATCCTCCAAATATTAATACAAAATTTTATTTCAATCTTGATTTCTTTGGAAGTGAAAGAAGACTCAGCTTCTTGAGTTCGTGATCCTGTTTTACAATGTACTGTTTTTATAAACTTTTTTCCCCATTTTTTTTTTAAAGATTTTATTTTTAGGTAATCTCCACCTAGTATGGGGCTCAAACTCACAACCTAGAGATCAAGAGTCAATTTTTCCTTTGACCGAGTCAGCCGGGTGTCCCTATAAATCATCTTTAAAAAAAAAATTTTTTTCTTAAAAAAAGATTATTTTAGAGAGAGAGAGTGCACAAACGGGGGGAGGGAGAGGTCATGATCCCATGGCCCAGATATCATGGCCCAGATCCAAAATCAAGAGTAGGATGTTCAACTGACTGGGCTACCCAGGTACCCCTATAAACTTTATTTTCAAGAAAAAATATACATGACATATTCAGGTCTCCAAAAAGACAGTATCATCATCACAGGGCCCTTTTATGTCCCTCATAGTGTCTTCTGATATAAGAAGGGGGTAGAGAAACTGAGTCAGGAATAAGGTCCAACCAAGATTTTACATGACCCAAGAATGCCAGAAGGCCATTAAATCAATTTAATTTAAGCCAGTGCCCTTGGCTCTGGATTCCCCTTGACATATTTGTTAAACTACATTAATTTTAAAATATATTTTTCATCGTAATTATCGTGTAAGTGTTACAAGTACACATTACACTCTGGGGCCAGAAGGAAAGGCTTTTTGTTCTTAAAAGAACCTGTCAGTGGTTGGTCTATCCCACTAAACAACATCAGATGTTCTCAAATGCCAGAAGATGTCTTCAGAAGAAACAGAATTCCTAAGTGGGGCTTCTTGGTTCTCTCTTAGACCCCCAAGAAGGCAGGTTTGCCACTGAGGCAAACATTTGCTTTCTCTTGGGGTAAGACTATTGGCTTTTCTATTCCCTACTTACACTTAAGGTCCTTAACTAAAAAGCAAATATAAATCTCTCAACCTCGTGGTCAAAGAGGAGACGCATTCTTTGAAAAGACATAGTTTAAGGAAGAGAAGACTGAAAGGAAAAAAATGGAATAATGCCTCATAGAACAGATTTTTAAGATCCCTCAAAGGGCAAAAACCGTGTTTCCCAAATAGTATTTTTTAAGTACCCGTCAAATCTGTCATTCACCTGTTTAGGATTATAATTTTTTTTTTAAGATTTTATTAATTTATTTGACAGAGATCACGAGTAGGCAGAGATGCAGGCAGAGAGAGAGAGAGAGAGAGGAAGGGAAGCAGGCTCCCCACTGAGCAGAAAGCCCGATGCGGGACTCGATCCCAGGACCCTGGAATCATGACCTGAGCCAAAAGCAGAGGCTTTAACCCACTGAGCCACCCAGGCGCCCCTGCTAAGGATTATTTTACATTTCTTCAAAACCTCTAAAGTTCAAAGTAAGTAATTGTTACAACAATTAAATCCAATGTTTACAAGGAGAATGTTTCCCAGGAATTTGACATTTCAATTAAGATGGCAGTAGTGTTGCCCCTGCCTTTTCAAAGATGATCAAATACATCGCATCGGAAAACATGTAATCTTGTTTGGAAATCTTCCTCATGAGTTCTGCCAGAGAACTTTAATACAAGTCAGAAAGTTAATTTAAGTCATTGGTACTAAAAAAGAAACTTCTGGCCCAGTACTTTGAATCTCTTGACTATTAATAACCGAGAGAATTGTATTTTGAAGTTGGTGAAGTGTTCATTTGTTCTGCTCCCAACTGTGATCTCCGTATACACAGGGTGTCTGTAGAAGTCTGGAGACAAAGAAGAAAATGCATCGTGTTATCATGGACATCATCGATCTGCAAAAATTAGAATACAATAGAATAGAGTACCAGAGAATAAAACAGGACAAAAGGGAACAAAGCAAATTGTTAAAGTGCATTAAATAAATGACATTGTGTCTGTTTCCAGGCTTGATGGAACTCCTCTGTGGGAACCTGTGGGGGTGTGTGGAGCCCATGAGTAGCTCGCTGAAAAGGGAAACTGCAGGAAGAGCTGCTTTTCTGATGCTTCTAATTAAGGAATGTGGAACCCTTCCTTCTGAGTCAGCTGGGAGGTATGTGGACCTCTGCTGCTTGCTACTTACATGATTATTGCAGGAAACTTTGGGATTAAAACCAGAGTATCTTGCCACTTAACATTTAAGAGGCAAGAGGTGATGTGTGTGTGTGTGTGTGTGTGTGTGTGTGTGTGTTTAAATGGTTCATAATCTTTAAAATGGCCCATGGTAGCTGGGCTTTTTATCAGCCGATCATATTTACAGCATAGTCTCAGATGGCAGGGTGCTAGCCCAGAGAGAGGATTTGGACCATTTATGAGCTCACGTTAAGGTTCACGGGCTTATCACAGCATTCTGGGGATTCACTACTATTACACAGCAATAAAAACATCTCTGTGGACTGTCAACTCTTCTTATTTTTAATGCCTTTTTTGGTAAGATAAAGGTTAATTTGTTTTATTTCAAGGATAATTCAAGCATGTTATAGAAAATGATCTGAGAAAAATAGGAGGTGGAAAAAGGTCATCCGTATGCCATTATCAAAAACAACTGTTATTTTTTTTTAATTTAAAATTTTTATTTTTTAAAGATTTTATTTATTATTTGATAGAGAGACAGAAAGAGAGGGACCACAAGCAGGGCGAGTGTGAGAGGGAGAAGCAGGCTTCCCACTGAGCAGGGAGCCTGATGTGGGGGCTTGATCCCAGGTCCCTGGGATCATGACCCAAGCCAAAGGCAGATACTTAACAACTGAGCACCCAGGCACCCCTTAATTAAAAAAAAATTTTTTTTTTAAAGATTTTATTTATTTACTTGACAGATAGGAACCACAAGTAGACAGAGAGGCAGGCAGAGAGAGGAGGAAGCAGGCTCCCTGCTGAGCTGAGAGCCCAATGTGGGGCTCAATCCCAGGACCCTGGGATCATGACCCCAGCCAAAGGCAGAGGCTTTAACCCACTGAGCCACCCAGGTGCCCCAATTTAAGAATTTTTAATAAACACTTTGCAATGTACACAAAGATAGAGAGGATAGTAAGATGACCTCCCCCACCCCATACCCAACATCCAGTTTTGCAGTTTCGAGTGAACCACATTGCCTCAATTCTCCTGTTTTTAAAATTTGCTGAAGTCTTATACATTCTAACATGTCATTCTCCTCCTATATGTTTCAGGATCTATCTCTAAAAAATATGTACTTTTTTTTTTTCCCCCACATACGCTGCAGTGTCTTTATCACAGTTAGGGAATTAACAGTAAGTTCCTGGTATCACGTGATACCCAGTCCATACTAAAATGTCCCTTGATAAGAAAAGCAATTTAAACAGTTTTGCATATACCTGCGTCTTCCCTTTTGGCTTACTAATAAAAAGATTCCTAGTTTATTAAAACTGTGATTTTGTATCTTGATTTTTCCCATCGCTATTATAACTATTTCCCAATGGCATATTTTCAAACTTAAATTTCGAAATGGGCCGTGTGTGCAAGAGCCAGAGATCACTTAGAAGATTAACTATTTCTTTATTTGTACGTTTCCCCACATACATGGAGAGAGCATGTGTGTGTTTTTCTTCCCCTTTAGAGTAAATCCCGTTGCCATGAATATCTTTGTTCACAATACCTTTTCCTTTATTAGGGCTGTTTCCTTAGGACCGATTCCAGAAACGTTACTGCTTCACCCAAATGTATGAACATTTGTAAGGCCCTCGACTTGTCTCACTGAGTTGTTTACAAAAGGACTGTACCAATTTACACTTCCACTTACAAAGGATGAGAGAGCCTCTATTAAAATGCTTAAAGGCAGTGCTTTTCCCGAGCTTTTGTAAATCACTGGCTAAGGCTGGCTTGTGTTTGTCATATAGTCACAGCCATCTCAAAATAAATAAATACACATTTTCTATAGCTGTAAAAATATGGCAAGCGCAGACTGCCAAACAACCACAGACTAACTTTGATTAAACGAGGAAACCGGTCTACTTGTTGAAAATGTGGTAATGAGATAGTTTCCACCCAGACGGGAAGCCCGGTTCTGGCGGGGGAGGGGCGCCGCATTTCTTTTGGTCTCTGTCTGCCCACCGGGAAGGTAGAAATGACCAGGTCAGCATGCTCTCCCTTTACTTTACCTTCTTCTTCTTCATTTTTTTTTTTTTTTTTTTAAAGGCTGAGTATCTTATTTGTTTCTATACGGCTGGGCTGATGATGCAGAAATACTGCTGAAAACTAGCAGAAACTTCTGGTGGCAAGCGCTTCCTGTCAGGGCAGCCCCAAAGCACTGGGGAACTGGGGATTAGGGGCAGAGCCATTTTAGTTTGGTCCAAATTCTACTTTGTTTCCTTGGGGACACGTTGTTCTTATTTGTTGACTTCCAATAAAACGGCTTCAGAAAGGGCTCATTGCTGTTCATAACATTCTTAGTTTCTTAAAAGAATAGAGCGTGTCAGTTGCAAATCCTTGTAGAAAATTTAGTTGTACTGGTTTAGAGATATTTATGTGACAGTGGTTTTTTTTTTGTTTTTTTTTTGTTTTTTTTTTTTTTGAGGCAGGGAGAAAGAAAAACTATTTCATTACTGTCCTGTTTATGGGAGGGAGAATAAAAGAAGAAGGAAACTTGATAAGAAAACACTTAGCAAGATGGTCCTTAAAAGCCGAGTCTGAATCTTTAAGTCTTTCTTTCTCTCTCTCTCTCTTCTTCTTCTTTTTTTTTTTTTAAAGTTCAGGAAAAAGGTTTTATTATCCTCGTTTGCTTCTCACTGTTTTCATCCCACTCAGTGGTGCAGAAGTAGTTCCTCAAAGCAACTGGGAACAAAATATAATCTCTTAAAATATTTTTAAGAGGACATGCAGGCTTGGTATTTGTAAAAATATGTCAACAAAATGTGCTAACCACTTTTTTTTTTTTTTTTTTTTAAGTTGTCAAAGAAGCCAAAGGGATTAGTTAAGCTGAAGGGCTGTTTTAGAGCAAGGGACTTTCGGAGAGAATAATGACTCAGGTCATTTTGGCTGGTGTTTACTGGGCGATCGCTGTGTGCCAGGCACCGTTTTGAGGTTTGGTTGTGATTAGGTCCTGTGACCCTCCGAATCGCCCAATGCAGTGGGTGGCACTGTTACTCCCGTTGTACAGGTGAGGCAGGCGGGTCAAGTCAGGAGGCTGAGGTTTCCCACTGGCTGAGTCAGGGAGCTGGGGTCTGGGTCCAGGCAGGTCGTAAAGACCATGTTCGGTTCCGGGCCGGTTTTCTTAGAAAACGTGCGCGTTCGTTTTGGGCGCCGCCAAGCCGCAGCCCACCTGCTCCAAGTACGCGGGGAGGTACCCGGTTCTCCATCCGCTGTACCACTGGGCACCAGGGCAGTGTCTGACCTTCGGTCGAGACTCAGGATTTCTTGGTCACTCTACACCTCTCAGGAGAGTGACCTTACGGGCCCTCTCCAGCGTTTTCCCCAAACCCCAGCATCCTGGGGGAGGCTGTGGCTGGAGAGGGTACCCCTAGAGTCAGGAAGACCGGAGCTCAGCTCCCTCACATCCTTCCCAGTGGCCACTCACCTCCGACCCTGTCCTTCAGGTGCCTCGCTTGACCTCCAGGTTTGGAGAAGATGCCCAAGGAACTCCGAAGGGCAGGTATCTCCCAGCTTCCATGACGGCCGCTCGGATCGAGGTATCGTTCTTCTAAGATTTCCCCTCGCTTTGTCCACGTTGTCCTCTTGCTGAGGATGGAGAGCAGCTCTGGTTCTGGAGAGGACAGTCTTGGGTCCAGCTCCGCCGGGCTCTCTCCCTTCACATACACATTCTTGTTCTCTTCTCCAACCCAGAATACGTACCCTGGCAGGGCCCCGCAGGGGCTGAGCACAGCACACAGACCTGATTGTGAGCGCTGGCAAGCTTCTGCGGCCGCGGGCGGTGGTCTTTATGAGACCGGCATGTCCTGATTCGGTGCTTACTATGTGCCACATTCTCCCCACAGCATTTTACTAGTGAGGACTAATTTATTCCTTCGAATACACCTGTCAGTGAGTACTCGTATCTCCCTCTGTAAAAGGGGGCCGGGGGCAAGAGAGCTCCAGTAGGTGGCAAAGGCAATAGCTATGTAGCCCAGGGTCTTGGTTTGAACCTGGAATCCAGTCTCAAGGGCTCAGTCCTTTACTCAGGACCCATGTTATCACTCGGAGATGCAGTTTCTAATCTGGGTGACAGGGGTGGGGTGTGGGGTCAGGGTGGGGAGTGGGGGTACCGACTCCGCCTGGTATCCAGAAAGGGTGCAAACAATGTACTCAGCCCATCATAAATACTTAATCAATGATTACTACTATTATTTTCTATTCTTCTGAGGCCAAAGTCAACCACTTAGTTCAAAAAAAGAATGGCATGAGTCAGCATGGGCCTTGGAATTCTTCCAGGCTAGAATTCTACTTCATTCTTATTGTAGAATCTCAAGTAAGTTAAAGAAGTTAGTAAGTCAGAGGATGAGTTAACCTCTGATGGCTACGGTGTCCTCATCTACCAGGCGAATTTAAGTATACAGGTTATCAGGACAACAAGATAACACCACGATTTGATAAGTCAGGTGTGGAATTAAGACTATGGCACATAACAGGGGCTCAATAAATTTTCTTTTTCTCTTTTTGTTCCTCTTTTTCTTCTCTTCTTACTGTAACTATTATCATTGTGGTGGTGGTGGTTGTGCTAAAAATATGGACACACTTAAATGTCTGAGTGATTTCAGCAAAGGAGACTATCGGGGTGATTATTTTAGGGGGACTCTTGGTTTTATCAATTTATCAATTTGTTATCAAGACTCTTAATGCCTCGGACAGGTTGTTTTTCCTCTGCTCGTACTTCACCAGCTTTCAGGTTCATTCAGGGTAATAGCCAGTCTTTACAATGCCCCCAAATTGTGTGTACCTCCTCCACCCTAATTTTCTGATTTGTGTCCTCTTCTTACTCCGTGCCAGCCACAACACTGCTCTGGCTTCCTCGATGCTCCTTGAACCATGGG